ATGAACTGATCACAGGATCAGCAAAGCGTGAGACTAGCCCAACTTTTGAGCTGCTCCATGAAGGGTGAGCAGGAATAGGAGTGTGGAAGGCAGAGAGAATGGTGTGTGCAAACACCCGGCGGCGTGAGAGGCCCCTGGGTGCTGGGAAGTGGGAAGTGTCTTGGGGTGGCTGGACTTGGGCACAAGGAGGATGAAGAATGAGGCGAGGAGGTTGCCTGCATGCACCCAGGTCACAAGGAGCCTTGGGTGTTAACAAGAATAATAACTCAACAGTTATGGTTACTACATGTCAGACTGCTCTCAGCACTTTATGTGAATTAACTCATTGAATCGTCATAGCAGGCCTAGAAGGTAAGTCTATTATTCTATTATTCTTTGAATTTTTTTTTTCTGAAAAGGAAATGGAGGCTCGGGAAGATAATTCCTACAAGATTGCTTAGCTAGAAAGTGCTCAAGCTGGGATTCAAACCCAGGCACTCTGACCTCACCCCTGGGCTCCTATCATAAGTGTAACGTTTTACAGGGAGAAACAATTAACCACCCAGAGCAAGAAGCAACTACCAGCATCTCCACCGTGTTCCCTCCATCACTGCCCTTTGGTTGTCTGTAGGATCTGTAGTGATGCCCCTTTCTCATTCCTGGTAAGGGCACTTTCTTGTCTCTTTTTTCCTTAATCAGTCTACCTAGATGTTTATCCAGTTCACTAATCTTTTCAAACAACCAGCTCTTGGTCAGACTGCAGTCTCTAAATACCATTCCCCACTGAAAGAAGGGCCCTTTGGAGAAATGGCTGATTCCAGGGCTAGGGTAGGAAAAGAATGAGTCAGTTTGGATTTGGTAGTAAGGAAGGGCTCAAAGATTCAAAGATGGATAGGGACACTAGGACCTAGCTTTCAGAAGCCCCCACTGGCCAAAGATGGGATAATCTGAGCATCAAAAACAATGGTAAAACGAATATGCTAAACTCTGTGAACTCATGATGATACCAAAAAAAGAAAAAAACAGGAAAGTCAGGGCTGGAGAGGGGAAGAAACAGGAGCTAGGACCTGGAAAGTGCGCACAGGGAGGGAGCCCTGGGCAGGTTCCCGGGCAGGGAGGAGTCCGGGGGACAGCTCCCTGGAGGAAGCTTGGAGGTGGGTGGCAGGGCAGTGGGGGAGGCGAGGTAGGGGAGAAGGTCCGGGGCGCCAGGAGGAGTCAAGGAGGGCAGAAAAGGGGGCGGTGGAGGGGGAGACGCTAAGGAGGGGATCTCACCGGCCAAGAGGATGGGGAGGGGGTTAGGAGGGAGTGGTGGGGACTGGGAAAGTAGGGGAGACTGGAAAGACTTGTGGGAGACAGGGGAGGGGGGCACGGAGAGGGATGAGGGGAGAGAGTGGGGATACAGGATGGGGGGAGGACTGGGAGGGACAGGAAAAGTGGGGGGTTCTGGGGGGGACTGGGGGAGACTGGGAGGGACTGGGGGGATTGGGAGGGACTGGGGGAGACTGGGAGGGACTGGGGAAGACTGGGAGGGGCTGAAAAGGGGCTGCAGAGAGTGAGGGACATGTTACGGCCTGGAAGGGGCGAAACAGAGTTGGGGAGCTTGGGAGGGTTTGTTACAGATTGGGGTGGGGGAACCTAGGGGCTTCGGGTGAGCAGCGGCATCGGGAGCCGCGCGGGCCCGGGGAGCCCCGCGAGTGGGGG